CCAATGCAGGACTGCTGCTGCCATCTTTCTTTTTCTTGGCCTGCTTCTCTGCAGCAACTCGTTTCGCCTCTTCTTCCTTGGCCTTTTGTGCCGCTTCCTGTCTCGCCTTTTCCTCCTCTGCCCTTCTCTTCTTCTCTTCAATCTTTTTCTTTTCTTCCGCGGCTATTATGGCCTTTTCTTCCTCAGCTTTTTTCTTTTCTTCTTCCACTCTTTTTGCTTCTTCCTCTATTCTTCTTCTCTCCTCCTCAGCCCTCCTCCTTGCCTCTTCTTCTGCAGCCTTTCGTGCCTTCTCTTGGGCTATCCTTTTCTTTTCCTCCTTCATAAGTTTCTCCTGGACATCAAATTGCGCAGTGATATTTTCGTTTATCTCCTTTATGGCATCTGCCTCTCGTGAGGTCCTTTTGACATCCCCGGCGTCGGCCCTAACTTCAACTCCGCTATTGGGGTGTTCTCTCTTTGCTTTCGGGCCCTCAATCTTCTCTTTCTCTTTTTGGCTTGCTTCTTTGATCTTGTCCAGCTCTTCCTTTACCGCGGAAAGTTCGTCTGCCGTCATCGTGCCAATTTCATTGAGGGTCTCTAACGCCTTCCTCCACTCAGTTACATTGTCCCTGGCTTCTTGCCATGCCCTAGTGGCGTTCAGTTCCTGGCTAGTCATGTCCCCCCTGAGTTTGGGTAAATATTCGTGCGCCCCTTTGCATTCTTCTTCAAGTTTCCTCATGTCTGGTTTATCCCTTATCTCCGCCTCGTAGCTCTTGAAACCAACGAGACTGCGATCAACTTTTCCGATGACGTCATCAATGTTTCTCCTATAAGTCGAACAGACCTGTTTTGTGTGTCCCGCCTTCTCAAACGCCACCACCAATTTCATGGGCTCCTTGCTCTCCTCCTTCTTTAGTGCTGTACTTACGTTTACCAACAAAGCTTTCAATTCCTCCGGGGTGGCACCGTTCTTCAACACAAGCTTCTTCTTCTTCTTCCCCACTTCCTCACCCTCAAGTACAATATCTGCCTTTTCTTTTATTTTTTTGACAAGATCATCCAGCTCAGCTATTCCCGCTTTGGCGTGTGCCACCGCTTCCTTGTTCGAGTCCACAACTTTCTTCCATATTTCCAGACAGGACCTACCTTCTTTTGTCACTCTCTCCACATCAATCACAGTCTCCGTTGCATCTTTTCTCAGTTTCTCGAACTCACGCTTATTATCAACCGATAGTATGTCTTCAATTTTTTTCTTGGGTTCTGGCGTGCTGCTGGCGATCACAACACACGCACAACATTGCAGAAATACGAGCAGAAAAACCAAACGTCGCAGTTGGATGAACATTTTTGACATGATTGCCACTGTGGGTTGCTTGGGTCTGTGGTAGAAAGGAAGAAGAAGAGGAAAAGGAGAAAAGAGAGACGCACATTTGACACACACGGCAGTGGGTACACAGCAACACAAAGGGAGAGAGAGAATACACATCACAACAGCAATCAAACACAACCCAATGAGGGGAGCAACAATAAACCGCTCACACAATAAAACACCCCCAGAGTCACACAGATATTGAAACAACACCTTGAATTTAGAAGAAGTGGAAAACAAATGGTATCAAGACAATATTAAATAAACGTCTCTCTACACATACTCCAATATCTTACTCGGTATTCATACACACAATGTGTGTCTGTGTTCTCATTATGATAGAACCATTACCAGGCAGTTTGAACACCAAAGCATGCCGAAAAACAATACCACAAAACAACCAACAAAACAAAGAAACTGCACAATAATCAACACACTTCCAAACGGAAAAAGAAAAAGAAACCCATGCATCACCATAATATTTATACCAACACCACAATTGGAATCCAAAACCCACTCACCCACAACCATAACAAAAACGACTGCACACATCACTGTAATACCATACCATGCCAATCTTTACAAACAGAATCAACACACAATTACTCTCTCACACAAATAATACCTCTTTATTTATCCTTATTACTATTATTTTATTTTTTCCTCAGAATGCCGATTCCCTTCTTCTTCTCCCAGAGCATTATCAGCAATAGTATAATCACCCACCCCACCACACACATACCTTACTCCACAATGTGGATTAGGAGGGTAATATCAAACATACCCCCTTCCACCTCTCCCACATGGGACACCACACCACCACGTTTTTCTTTTTGTTCTTCGGGGTTTTATGGATATTACTCCAATGGTGCGGCTATCAACCGTACACCGTAGAGCACCTAGTTACTGGATTACGAGTGGCTCCGAAGAGGAAGATCCCTTCATTTTATAGGATCCTCAAGCTCTTGTAATATGAGTTTTTCTGTTCTAGCCCGTTCCCATACGAGAGAACCAGTCTACGAGAAATCTGATCGAGTAAACCCAACCAGATCTCTCTACTCTCACTTTTCTTACCCAGAACCCGTCCTCCAGTCTCCTTTTTGTTACTATTTTTTGTTATCATTTTTGGTTGTTTTTTGTGAAAGATTGGCCTCAATGAACTCCTACTTATTGTGTTGCTTCTTTGATCGGTGAGAGGCGCCTTGAGTTTACTCTTCTATCAGGGTTTCCATATTCGAGCTCGTCGCTTATTTTAGAGAAGTGGGGAGGTAGGCTGCGTAGGGTTTCTCTTGGTTGTGAAGACTCTGGCATAGCGTAGTTCCGCTCCACCGCAATAAGGAACTGTGCTAACCGCTTAGAAAAACATGGTTTCATAAGGGGTACATCATCAACCATCGCAAATTGAACTCGCAGTGGATGAAGAGCGGGGCAACTCAAGAGATGCAGAGCTGTTTCTTCGCATTCGTCGCGTTGACTGGTGTGCGCGTGGATAGGGTTGATACCCGTGTTATGACATTCGGAGTAAAGTTAGGCCTGACTTACCCATACACATTGGCGACCACATGAGGGGCAGACTAATGCCGGAAGGTCTCTTGTTTTCGTTGTCTTGTAACGTGCAGTGGTGGCGTTTTCATTATGCCGCGTGCCACCGAGTTAAAAGGCGCGGTTGGACGGCCGCCACGTCACGAGGGGAACGGGGAAAGGTCATCTTTGCGGAATGCCTTTCAAACCCATCTTACTCAGCGTCGAAGTGAGGAAAGCAAAGAGTTTTCCACTATGCCCAACCCCCCTCATTTTATAAGTGAAACACCCCCGGGAGCCACTCCACACCCCTCTTCTTCTTGTTGCGCACAAGACGCTGACAAGTTGGCCGCCCGCCTTGGGTTGTGGGGTTGTGTTCTCTCTCCTCTCCCTTCTTGGGGTGAGGGATAAAAAAAAGAAAAGGGCAAAACCCGACAACGAGCCTCGAGCATTGCGCGCGTAGACTGGTTGCCGGGTTTCATCCTTTCTTTTCCTCATCCTCACTCTTCTTTTTCTCTCAAGTTCAAAGTCCCTGAGCATGATATTTCAGGCCTCAAGGTTCAGCGCTTCGGGACGTAAAGTGCCCCTCGAGCCCCACCGCCGAAGCGAAGCATGCCGCTCACGCACAAACCCCACAGACGTCTCAGCGGAGTGGTCCAGCAACACAACGGTGTCCTTCCCACTCACACACAATGACAGTCTCACATGCTCATATCAGAGAGGCACTGCCACATTCCCTAAAATGTACACGGAGCCACACACCTGCAGAGAGGAAAAGAAAAAGAAAAGAACAACAACAACAGGATACCAACAGCACACAAAGCACTCACAATACAATAATCACAGGTGACACTCCCCTCAGAGGAAAACATTCACCCACACCAGCACATCAACTCAACCCCAAAATAATAACAGACCCATTACGTGAAGCCGAAGCGGAACAGTCTCAGTCCATCTCCCCGCAGGCTGCAGTCACTCAAGCAAGCCACACAACAAACAACAAACAACACAAGGGCAGAAATATGTTCGTGGCAATGCCGTGAGTGACACCGCCGAGAGAGAAGGTGAGAACAAAGAAATGTGTTTTCATTACGTGGGCGGTGTGAGTAGCAACCCAAACACACATAGGAACACACACACAGAAAAAGACTCAAACACCCACAACCCACCAATTTTTATACCAAAATAAAAATGCAAAAAAAAAAGAGTGATTGTGTGAGGCAGACACAATAATAGAGCAAAAATGCAAAAAACAAAAGAAATCCATTACTTCCTGTGGCTGCTATGCCTGGACACAGTCCAATCCACTCCAAGGTTAACGACGGAAAATCATTGTGTACTGAACGTGCCGTGCCCATATCTTTATTCCTGTTGTCCGTGCAGGAGTTTGTATATAATGAAAAAAAAAAATCATCCCATAAAAATGAACACACAATATACACAAGGTGTATAGGAAACGCAAAAGAGAAACACACAGCTGCACATAATATGCAATGAAATTATAATGAAACACACACAAGGGAAAAAACAACAGAATGAAAACAAAACAAAAAGAAAGCCGTGATCACCATGTGAACACGTTCAGGAGACAGCGACACAATCCCAGCAGTAGGTTTGTGTACCTTTCGTACAGGGCGAGCAGTGGGAATGATGCACACATGATGACAGTCCACACACACACACACACACACACACAAAGAGAGAAGGAAGGTTGGTAGTGTGCGTGTTTGTGTGTCTTGAACCTCCTGCCATTCTTTACATTTCAATCACAGCAATTAAAACACATTGGGATTGTATCTCATTCCCATGGGTGAAAGCAATAGTTAGTAATATCACGGAACACACACACACATTACTAGTGAGACACAGTAAACGGCGGCAAAACAGAGCCCGGATAATAATGCCAACAAACAAAGAGGACACCCCCCTCACAAAATGATGGTTTGCCATGTGATGAGTGCCATAGGGAGTCCAATAGATTTGTTCAGTAAAAAATGCAAATAAGAGATTTATCGAACTGAAAAAAAAAAAAAAAAACATTAAAATTCAATAAAAAGAACAGTGCTCTAACAATGTATCCATTTCCACTCAAACAAAGGTTAACTGTGCAACCGTGTCATGGGAACACCGATTAGCACACGAGAGTGTAACCCAGCACACACAGGACAAGAAGAATCAAGGAACTGTGCACCAATGCAGGACTGCTGCTGTCATCCTTCTTTTTCTTGGCCTTTTCTGCTTCTTCCTGTTTCGCCTTTTCTGCTGCCCGTCGCGCCTCTTTTTCCCTGGCTTTTTGTTCCGCCGCCAGTCTCGCCTTTTCTGCTGCCTGTCGCGCTTGTTCTTCCTTGGCCTTTTCTGCTGCCTGTCTCGCTTGTTCTTCTCTGACCCTTTCCGCTGCCTGTCTCGCCCTTTCTTCTTCTTCCCTCTTCCGTCTGGCCTTTTCCGCAGCTCTTCTCGCTTCTTCCTCTCTTCGAGCCCTTTCTCGGGCAACCTCTTTCTTCTTCTCCTCCATACCCGTGGTAACATTCTTGATTGCCTCCGTCACATTTCTTATGACCAGACGGGCGTACTCTTTTCTGGTTTCCTTCGCTCGTTCATCCACTGCACCTACTGTATCCGTAGCGTTCTTAATTTCTTCCAGAGGTTCCTTGATAAGCCCGCTTATTGCCTCAAGCTGCGATTGCTTTTCCCCAATCTTACACTTCTGATTGCTGGTGTCCGACGTCCACGCACTTCTCAAATCTGCAAGTCGCTCAAGCTCTGCGTACGCCTCTTTCCACTCCTGCACCAGGGTTTTTATCCTTCCCACCGCAAATCTGTCCTGAACCGTAACATTGTCAATTAGTGCCGTGACATTTCGTAATGTGGCGTTTATTCCCTCGGCCACCCTCTTCACCAACATTGCGTTGTCGCTCCTATTATAATCTCCCACATATGAAGTAATGCCTTCAACCTTCCGTTCAAGATCCCTCAAAATATGATCCACGTCAGAACGCTTCGACTTGCACAGGAGTTCCGCTTGTTTAGCCTCAGCAATTTTAAATACCACTTCTTTTCCTGGTGCCTTCTCTTTTGTCTCTCCCAGTATCTCTTGTATATCCTGAATCAGTTTTGCGAATTTCTCTGCGTCGCAGGCATCCTTCAGCTTCATAGGCGTTTTTTTACCGTATTTGTCCTTCGTTTCCGGATCCGCCACCTCATCAATTCTGTTGATAAGACCCTTAATCTTCTCGGTGGCCTCCTCGGCATCCCTTACCGTCTTCTCATTTGCTTCTACCACCTTTTTCCACTCGGATGCACAGGCCGTTCCATTCTTAAAATGAATCTCGGAATCCCTCACGATCACCAACGTCCTCCACACTATATCCCTCAAATCCGCGTTTCCAGTCTCCCCCAAAATATCGTTTTTCCCGAGTTCATCTTTGGTGAAGTTCGGAATGTCCAAATACGTCCCCCACGCTTTTTCTTGGTCTATCACTGCCGCCTCAACATCATTTTTTGCAACCTCTGTTACAACTCCCTTTTCCCCCTGAGCGAGAACCAAAGCAGAAATGCAGGTAAGAAACACCAAGAGGTACACCACGCGGCGCAGTTGGACGAACATTGTTGTCATGATTGTCACTGTGGGTTGCTTGGATCTGTGGTAACAAGGAAGATGAGGAAAAGGAGAAAAGAGACGCACATTTAACTCACACGGTAGACAGTGCACAGCAACAGAGAGAGAGAGAGAGAGAGAATACACATCACAACAGCAATCAAACGACACAACCCAATGAGGGAAACAACAGTAAACCACTCACACAATAAAACACACCCAGAGTTACATACAGATATTGAAACAACACCTTGAATTTAGAAGAAGTGTAAAACAAATGGTACCAAAACAATATTGAATAAGCGTCTCCACACACACTCCAATATCTTACTCGGTATTCATACACACAAGGTGTCTGTATTCTCATTATAATAAAACCATTACCAGGCAGTTTGAAAACCAAAATACACCAAAAACACAGTGTACACGCCCGGCAACATACAAAAACAATACCACAAATTATCAGCAAAACAAAGAGACTGTACAATAATAATCAACACAAACTTCCAAACAGAAAAAGAAAAGAAACCAATGCATCACCATAATATAT